AATTGCGTAATCTTTCGTAGCAGAGTTTGAGAGTTGTGTTTTGACCCGGCATGAACTGGAAATTGCGCTGAAAGATAAGAGATGATTCAATGTTCTAGTCGAGTTTAATGTGTACAAAGTCCGTAATTTATGCCGCTTTGTTGAAATCAATGTTCGTGACGGTTCCGAGCTTTCCGGCGATGTACTCAACTAAAGGGAGGTTGAGAAACTGTGAAAGGATACTTTGGATCTAAATCCAGAACAGAATGATCCAGAGCATTCTGTCAGTGATTGTTGGAGACCAACATTGAGTTAGAGCATCCATTCATTGAAAGACCATGGACCCCGTCGGAAAATCAGGTTGGGGGCCTTTTCCGATTGAAACACAAATTGGGATTTCTTTGTATATAATATTCTGCCAATTACAGCATCACTTAATCCCCATAGTCTGGGCACCTATGTGATCAAAGCACGAAGGTTTTGTCATCTGGGATTAAGAAGGGTTCCAATGATGGCAAAGTGATTCGCATGTACCGCTTCAGAATAAATGGATTGGGGCAATTTAATTGGGGCTTCAGCGTGACCCAAATAGATCACTTGCATTCGTCTGCGGATGTTGTCACTCATCAGGCAAGGGAATGCGTAACAATTATACAGATTTTTCGTGAGCAGTCACATATATATATGGGACAATCCATGGCTGTTTTTGTTCGTAGAGAGGTGAGAGAGAAAGGAAAAAACAACCGCCTGAGAAACTGCTCAACAGACAGAAACCGACAACAATATATCCCAAAGAAATCGGGATAAAAACCGTCGGACAAAACTCACTGTAAGAATTGAAGAACAAAACTGGTTCTCGATTCTAAATCCTTGACGAGAGAAGGAGAGAGAGAAGGAGAGATATAAGTTAGAGAGAGGAAGAAGAGAGAGAAACATTTTTTCCACACATTCCCACCCTCTAAATTTTGCTAGTACGTAAACATAATAGCAGAGTAGCAAAATAACTGAATAATAAAACTGAAACTGAATAACCTCAAAACGCTAAAAAGAACTAGTATCTATTAGATAATTAGTTTTTTCACTAAATTAGTTATAAACTTAATACATGCGGGATGGATTGAAAGATAGCATGTTAATTTTCACTTTTTTATTAATCGTTTAGTGTGTGTATATATATATATATAAGAGAATAGATTCTCTTCTTATTCTGCCACATCATCAGCTCACATCTCCAAATTGTGACGCATCATCTACTATTTTGGTTAATTCAAGTTTTTTTTCTATTTGCTATGTTTTATGTCGTTTTATCTTTTAGTTCTTATAATAACTAACATTCAGTGATATAATAGTTTTAGAAGTTGAAAAGTAATATCGTTATAAAAGATAGCTTACATGTTAATTTAAAAAAAACTTTAATTTTATCATTTTAGCTTTATTTATGTAGTTCATCAAAATATTTACTTCTAAATACATACATCAAAATTTTTAATTAATAGTTTAAATCATTTATATATTTATTTTCATATATTTAGTAAAAATAATATTTTTATTTAAATGATTCATATAACAAAAATATATAATCAAATTTAGATCCAATTTTCTCAAATACATAAGATAACTTCTCAGATTCTAAAACTACTTCAAAAAGCCAAAATGTTATAAACAGATTAAAACATAAAAAATATAATAACATCATTAATTTATTCTAAAACTTTATAATTTAAAACAATAGCATCCAATATCACCCTAATTTAAAGAATTTATGATGTTTAATCCGTTTTAAAAACAAATATGAATATCTATTTCATCTACTTAGTTTTATAGTTGTAGAGTTTAGTGTTTATACTAGGCCAAAATATTGTGAAAGTTGAGTTAAAAACTGGTAAAAATGTTATCTCTAATTCAGTATGCTGAGTTTATGAAAGAGAAAGAAAACAAAGTTAATTTATTACAAAAAATTATAATCTAAAATAACAATATCTATCATACCATTAATTTGAAAAACTATGATGCTAAATCCAATAAAAGATTAATATGGATAGTTACTCATCTACGTAGTTTTATAAATGTAACTTTTAATGTTTGTACCGAGCCAAAGCATTGTGAAAGTTAAGTTACAATCATGCCAAAATATTGTTTATAATTCACTATATTGTGTTTATGAACAAAAAATAAAGATTAAACTGGCAAAAATGTTATCTCTAATTCAGTATGCTGAGTTTATGAAAGAGAAAGAAAACAAAGTTAAATTATTACAAAAATTTATAATCTAAAATAACAATATCTATCATACCATTAATTTGAAAAACTATGATGCTAAATCCAATAAAAGATTAATATGGATAGTTACTCATCTACGTAGTATTATGAATGTAACTTTTAACGTTTGTACCGAGCCAAAGCGTTGTGAAGGTTAAGTTACAATCATGCCAAAATATTGTTTATAATTCACTATATTGTGTTTATGAACAAGAAATAAAGAGGAAGGGAGATAGATGAAGAGAGAGAGAGAGAGAGAGAGAGAGAGAGAGAGAGAGAGAGAGAGAGAGAGAGAGAGAGATCTAAAGAGGAGAGATAAAGATTATGAGGATATCTTAAAATATATAAAAATACTGTTGAAAATGAGATTAATATTGTTGATTATATATTTTGAAAAATATTAGATATAAATAAAAAAATATTAATATCGGATGAAGGAACATCAGGTTTATTCTTTTATAAGGCAAATACGGATGAAGCAGAGACTCTGGTTATAATTGTACAACAATATGAGGTGGTATCGGGTCAAAAAATAAATTCTGACAAATCCTCGGTCCAGTTTGAATATACGCTAGATGATACAATAAAATTGGAAGTACATCAAACACTAAGGATAACGACTGGAGGGGGGATGGTAACTTATCTAGGTATACCAGAGAGCCTAGGTGGTGCAAAAACAAATTTTTTTAACTTCCTCATAAATCGCCAATAGAAGAGGGTAAACGAGTGGACGTCATGATTGTTGTCCAAGGGTGGGAAGAAAGTCTTGATTAAATCAGTGGCGTGATAGCAATGCCAACATTCACCATTTCGTGCTTCAGGTTGCCAAAAACAGTCACAAAAATCTTACAAGTACGAGTGCACAGTTCTAGAGGAGCACTAAAGGACAAATGAGAAGCATGCATTGGTTAGCGTGAAAAACTCTGTGCAGACATAAGTTAGACGGAGGGATAGGTTTTCAGGTTATAGAGAATTTTAATACGGCTCTCTTCGCAAAGCAGCTTTGAAGACTTATTGATCATCCCACCTCATCATTCGCAAAGGTTTTGAAAAGCAGATACTTCCGTAATGGTACACCATTATACTCGATAAGATCATATTCTTTATTGTACGAATGGAGAAGCATTACTTCAGTTCGATCTTTGGTTAAAAAGGGACTTATTAAAAGAGTTGGCTCAGCTAATTCTATATCCGTATGGAATGATCTCTAGATTCCAGCATCTCGCTCGAGATCAGCATCAAGAAGAGGGTATAACCATTACCCCGAGCTAACAGTCAATCAGCTAACATCATCATGAAATTTATCCTTACTTGAACAACTGGTTGCTCCAGGAGACATTCCACTATCACAAGGATTCCTACTAACAGGGTTTCCAGACCAGGTTTATTAAGCTGGTACTTTACAAAATCAGGCACGTATACGGTTAAATCAGGTTATTTTATCGAGCAAGAATTCCCATCAAGTGGGGACTACAACCGACCCTATGGACGATGTTAGCGTTTTATAAGGTTATGCATGGAAGGTTAGATTCCCCTAAAGATAAATATTTTTTTTTGTGGCAGATAATCTCAGACTGCATATATGTAATGGACCATCTTAAAAGTAGAGGTATTAACTGTAATCCGCAATATGGGAGATGTGTAGTGGAAAGGGAATCCAAAAATCATACACTTTTTGAATGCCTGCCGGCTCTTTAGGTTTGGACACTATCGGTGATTTCAACGTTCCTGACACGCTTCCCAAAGGATGCATTATATTCCAATATGGCGTATTTGTTTTAAAATTTACCTCATCATGAAGAAATGGTAATATATCCATGGTTATTGTGGTATATTTGGAAATCAGGAAACGACAAAAAAATTTCTAACATCGATCAAGATCCTCAAGAAACAGCAAAAGCAATTTCATGGGAAGTGGCTTAGACAGAAGAAATAGTGGAGGTTTCACAAAAAATAAATCCGGCTTTAGAAATTACAAAGAATGATAGGTTAAATTGTTCAATAGATGGATCTTGGAAAGAGTCGGTAGCTAATTCGGGTCTCAGATGGTACTGTCAGGGCTTAAAATCGGAAGACACTCTTATGGGTGCAAAGAACATGAGACGAAGTCTTTCCCCATTGCATGTGGAGCTAGATGCATTAATATGGGTCATGCCTTGTATATTAGATGGTAGGCGCTTGGAGGTGAACTTTACTACAGACTGTTCTGAATTGGTACAGATGATTTTCAGCCCAGAAGAATGGTCAGCGTTCACACTACACCTGGAGGAATACGAGATAAGCAAGAAGGAATTTCCCTTCTTCTCTATTTCGTATATCCCACAAGCTCAAAATATAAAGGCGGACAAGTTAGCACGGAGTGCTCGAGACCATCTTGATTCTTTAAATTATATAAACTCAGTTCTACCGATTTGGATTTCTGAATCGTTATAGGATCTGATGCTGTTGCCAAACCAAAAAAAAAATTAGAATGAACATTTGACTAAAATATAAAAAAAAAAACAGAAATATAAGTATAATATTTAGGGTTTTCTGCATTTTTAACCCGTACCCTTAAAATATTTTGTAAAACTACCCTCGACCTCTCAAAAGTGCAGGTAAAATACTCACCCCACGGTCAACCCGTAATACAGTCCATGCGTGTATCGATGACGTGTCATTTGTAAACATTTGTTTGGAAATTAGACAGAATATAAAACACTGCATATAGATTATAAAAAACAGGATGAATGTTATTTTCTATGTCATTTTAACGACATAAAATGACACGTTGTTCGTGGTTGGCAATAATTAAAAGAGAAAATCGATTTGGGAACAAAATGAAAATTAGGGTTCATCGTGGCTGGGAGAAATGGTTTCTGAGGTCGATAATCCAGAAGTTCGATTAGAGTAGATATCAGGATTCGAATTCAATTCGAGTAGGTTCATTCGAGTTTTCGTCTTCGATTTGAGTAGTTCATTCGAGTTTTCGGGATTATCGGGATTTATTTGAGGAGTTTCGTCGAGCTCTGAAGTTTGGAAGAGAGAACTGAATTTTTTGGGAAAGATTCGTTTGGAGTCCTGGTGCATTTGAGATCCAACGAATATTGGGTAACATTTCTAAATCTATTTCGCGTCTCTCATTTCTTAGAATTGGATTCGGACTTAGGTATTGTTGTTTCTGTTTAATAGCTTGGGTTTTCTGCAATATTTGCAGTTTTGATCTCTTCTTTCATATTGGTGGCTACTGGTCTAGAGACGGGTCTTACATTGGTGAAGAAATAAGTGTCGTAGGTAGAATGTTGGCTGATGCTTTCAGTTTGAGGTCCATTGAGATGTTAGTTGTTAAAGCAATGGGCTATGGAGACAAGATGAAGAAAGTATCTTGGTTTCCACCAGATGATGAGAGTCAGCAGAGAGTCGACATTGATGACAATGAGGTCTTAGGAAAAGCGGTTTCATATGCTCTCGGATCAGGTGCTTTAACATTGTTTATTGTTAGGGAAGATGATCTGTATTTGATGAATCGCAGTAGTGATGGAGTTGGTGTGTCACTTTTCGAGGATAATGGTGATAATGCGAGTGGTGATAGTGATAATAGTGTTGGCAGTTCTGATGAAAGCAGTGAGAGCAGTGAGAGCAGTTCTGATGAAAGGAGTGATAATGATGGTGGTCGTGATATTGTAGCTCACAATGAGGATGATGGTCCTCGTAAGACCATAGATGAGAGCAAGTATAAGGCATTTATGCTTGGGCAGTGTTACTCTACAATTCAGTCTTTCAAGAATGCAATTACAAAGTATGCAGTGAAGAAGAAGTATGATATATCATACTTTAAATTAGATAGCAAAAGAGTTGTTGCTGTTTGTTGTAAACGAGCATGTCCTTGGAGGATTTGTGGATCGATCAATAGCACTAGCAGCAGGGTTGTGGTAAGAGCTTTACAGGAAGAGCATGATTGCACATGGCAAGGTAAAGTGTCTCTTGATAGCTTGCTATTTTAGACCATTTTAGGCTGTATTTCATGCATCTTTTCCTCTGTTTCTGCATTATAGTTTAGCATTTTAGTGTCATTTGCACTTAGAATCAACATGGCATGCATTTAGCTTAGGATTGCATACATTTGCATACATGTGCATGTTTGTGGTGGTTTTCAGGTAAATTTGGAGAGTTTTAGAGTTGGGAAGGAGATGGAAGCAGCTCATGATCGAAGAAGATATCAGAAATGGAGCTCTTGTAAAGTCTGGTTCATATCGAGAAATCATATCGAGCAGAACACCCGTGGAGTATGCTCGATGTAAGTAGCAGGACGAGAGGAAGGGGATCAGCACGAGGAGTCTAAGCCGTTGGTCTGCATCGAGGAAGGAAGCTGATGCGCGCTGCACGAACCATATCGAGGTCGCATATCGAGCAGAACACCATCCGTACCACCTCGATGTGATTCATCCGCGCATTGACCATTTTACTTTTGTTGACCTTATCTTAATTTTAGGTTTTTTATGCTTCTTTTGGCTCCCTACTATAAAAAGGAAGCCACAAAACATTATCTGAATCCAAGTTTAGTCTTTCATAAAAAAACTCTCTCTTCTCTAAACAAAAAGGACGATTTGCCTTAAGTACCTTATCTTTAATAAAGTTAGCAATTTATGGTTTAATCTAGTCTTTTAATATTTGGTCTTGCACCTTGGTAGTTTAGATTTATCTTCTTTCCATTTTAATCTCATCTAGTTATGTTTAACTCCAAACAAATGAGATTAAACATGATTAGTGAGTAGTTTACTTTAGATTTAGAGTTTTAAGTAGGGAAAGTGGTGATTAAGACGTGATTAAGAGGTGATTAGGCTTATTTAACTGTTCTATGTTGTCTCCTTCTCTTGCAAAGTGGTCATTGTTTATAAAGCTTGCTCCTTTTGATTGAATATGGTATTGATTGATGCTTACGGTTCACTAAATGGCTTGTTATCTCATTTCTAAGCATGGTTCGCTTATTTGGCTTGATAGTTTGGCTTGGTCTATGTTTCCTTTGTTCAGTGACACCAAAGTGATAATTCACTATTGCTAGATGGTTCGCTTAGGGCTAGATAGTGCTGGTTTTGAGATTCTTGCTTGATGGTTAGATAGTATGCATTAAAAGATATTGCCTTTGTTTCGTTCTTGTTCATTGCTTAGCATTGTTAGGATGTTGCAGTTGTGTGCCTAAATCCATATTCTTTATTGGTGTTTACCTAACTAGGTCCTTATTGGTTCACAAGATTGATAAGTTGATCTGAATTCTTGCTTGGGTGAGAGAATGATTGCTTGATTAGTACATCTCTTAGGCTACAATGGTTCTGATCTTTATGCTCATTGTTGAAGGATACGCCATCACAAGTGGGTTTGACACTTCAATCTTGTTGAATATGAACTGCTTATTGATGCCAATTTGGTTCCTTTTAGAAACCTTGTCTAGGATTACAACATTAAGAATTGCTTGCTTATGAATGCTTGATGCTTGCCTTTGTTAGAAATCCCCATTTTCGCTCTTGAAAGCCACTATCCCACAATTGCTTAGAACCTTGAGTCTTGCTTTTAATCAATTGTCTTTAAGATCATCTTGCTTAATTCTTGCTTTAGTTGTTATTTTTGCTTAGTTCTTGCTTAGTCATTGCTTTTAGTCCATTGCCTAGTTTTATTCACAAGCATTTAGTTTCTTCTTTCTTTCCATTGCTTTGTTAGGTTGTTAGACTTGTGCTTGATTAACCAAACCCCTATCATTGCTTAGCTTATGGCATTGTTTGCATCTCATCTTCCACAAATGAATTGACACATGATCCCTATTCTACAACTGATTAGAGGCTAAGGATATTTGGTTTAGAATAGCAAAAATCCTGTTTCATATCTGCTTACTAACGCACGCATAGCAGACATCTATAAGGAAGATTTTAGAGAGAATCCACATTTTTTAGGAAATCAGCTACACGTAAAATTGCTAAAGCGAAACATAAATGTTCCTTGGACTATCTGTGAGAGGAAAAGGTTGAGATGCTTGCAATCGCTTGATGATGAACAAGCAGAGGAGTTTGCAAGGTTAAATGATTATGTTACTGAAATAAAGAGATCTTATGAAGGTTTAAGTGTGGAATGTGAGGTTAGAGAAGATGTTTTCCATATATATTTTATGTATGTTTCAAAGCTTTGAAAGATGGGTGGAATGGAGCTTGTCGGAAAATCATACACATTGATGGCACTTTTCTGAAGTGGAGAATGACCGGATGTTTTTGTTAGTTGCATGTGGAAGAAGTCTAAATGATCAAATTTTCCCTATTGCTTGGGGCGTTGTGGATGGTGAAACTAAAGAGCATTGAATTTGGTTCTTTCAGCATCTGGTTGATGACTTAGGATTAGGAATAGGCAACGGTTTGACATTGTCCAGTGATCAATGTAGGGGGCTGATAGGAGCGGTCAATACGGTACTTCCGTATGCTGAACACAGGCTGTGTGCACGCCATGTTTATCAGAATTGGAAGAAGTTACATAGCGGAGCAGAGTATGAGGACTTGTTTTGAGGTGCTGCAGATGCATATAACATGGCGGATTTTGAAAGGAAGATGCAGGCGTTGAAGAACAGTTCCCAAAAAGCTTTTGATGATTTGAAGATAACAAATTCATGCGCTTGGTCTAGGTATGTTTTCATTTTATTTATATCTCTTTTAGTTACAAATTATAACTTTTGTGGTATCTAGTATATAACGCATGGCTTATCTCACTGAATTCTCTAAGTGTGCAGCTGTGGAAAACAACTTAGGAGAATCCTTCAATGCAGCCATACGTGTGGCGAGAACCAACCCAGTTGTTGAGATGCTTGAAGAGATACGAAGACGTGTCCTGGTGAGCAATGAGAAGGAAAGAAAAGAATCAGAGAAAGCGAAGGGGATTTACACTCCTAGAGCAAGAGCATTGCTCGATCAACAAATAGAGCTTGCAAAGAATTGAAGTCCTTTGCCATGCGGTTTGGGTAAGTACGAAGTTGGATACTTCAGCGACCGGTTTGTAGTCCAATTAAGAGGTGAGGTGCTTTGTGCATGCAGAATGTACATTGTAAGTGGCATTCATTGCTGCCATATTGTTTCTGCATTTCAATTGGAGAAAAATGTTGATCTTTTTGGATCTAAAATTAATATTATGAGAAAGATTAAATATCCGACTATTTAAATTTTGTATATGATTATAATTTTTTTAAACTTAAATATGCAATAAATTTTATAGTCTATTATGAGAGTATCTAAAAATACATAAAAATATTTATAAAATGAGATCAATATTATTGGTTACAGTTGGGACAGATTTTACAAACTCCAAGGACAACGCGACACGTGGACAGTGAAACACCCTAGACACTGACACTACTAAGCTAGCTCGGCCAACAACTCCCGAGCACAATTTCCAGGTAGTTGGCGAGCTTCCCAAAATCCGCATGAATCATTAGTCCACCTGCTCCTCTGGCATGACGAATGGAGAGGACATGACGGGGAGAAGCCAATATAAAAGGATGAGATCACCACAAAGAGGAGGGGGGAGAGCTTCTTCGAGAGAACCCGATCTAAGGAAGATAACGTCCTTGACCCGACTCGGAGGGTCGCCCGCGGCCAAACAGCATGGTCGAGAGGGATTTGCCCCATTCCCTCGAGACGATGCCTACTAAGATAAGTCCCTTCTTTAACCCCGAACACTGCATTTATACTCACTGAACCCCCTCTTTTCTACTAGAAGCATCCCATAAACACTCGCAAACAGACAGATGTCTCGATCCCCAGACTAAACTTCTCACTCGAACCCGTAGAATCACCCTTATGAGTATTTGTTTCCGGTAGGGCGTTCATTGATTTGGGCGTCGAAGAACCTTCGGGAGGGAAATCCTCTTCTGGTATTCCTGGAGGCCCGATTGACTTTTGATGTACTGCTAGCAGGGTCGGACTTATCCACTACCCCGCCGACGGGGCCTGAATCGGCTTCCACCTTACAACGCCTCGTCGCCTTTCCCCCCAGAGGACAAAACTCGGAGGCCCATTTCCACTCCCCGAACGAATAATACACACCCACGTGGCATCCTAAAATTTTTTCCCGAACAGTTGGTGCTAGAAGGAGAGGAGATCACCGCCGAGCATTCCACGAAGGAAGCAGTTTACACAGTTCGACAACGCGAGGAATGGAAGATTTAGAAGCCCCACGAGCTGAGCGAGACAGCCCTCACTCAACCAGACCCTAGACTTCGGAACCATCACGCATACTGGTCCCGAAGTCAAGAAGTCAGGTCTGCAAAATGAAGCAAAAGTATGAAAAGTGTACAAAATCAAAGATGTGCAAAATAACCATGAAGTGCATTAAGAAGAAAAAGGCCAAAAGCGGCCACCGATCCAAGTGTAAGAGAATACATTATACATGGGACAAAAGTCCCCAAAAGAGATTGTTCAATTTAAAAACCCAGCGGGCGCGAAGACCCCGCCGGTGAAGAAGTGCTCGCGCCTCCATCGCCTCTTGCTACCCCCAAAACATCCATCCCCCGTGACCCATTCCGCCGATGCTCTTTTTCGAGCTCTCGCTTAAGTAAGCAGATCGTTGTCTGACTATATACAAAAGTTTCGGCTGCCATCAGCGAGAGGTCCGTCTCGGCACCAGGAGTAAACCCCCGGTACACCGCCATGGTTTTGCAGAGCGTTCGCATCTCAAAGTTGTGGGTCTCAAAGTCCCGTTGGCTATCGGCCAACGCGGTCGTCAACCGCTTCAACTCCACACTCAGATCTTCCCCTCGGCCAGAAGTTTGCACCTCCGCGAGTTGGTTCAGGGTCACGAGCAGTTCGGCCTGGAGCTCGCTAGCCCTATCTGCAAGACCACATTCACGGTGCTCTGCCGCATGGAGTTCATGCTCCAGCATTTCGAGCGAACGTTGACTCTGCCAAGACGGAGGAACAAGTAAGGTAACCACCAAGAAGTAGAAAGGGAAGAAGACCCTAGAAGAAACTTCCCGCATCCAGCGAGCGTGTGAGTTCCAAGGCGGTCAGCCGCCATCTTTGGGTGAGCCCACTAAAGCTGACGTGTCGAAGAAGCAGTAAGAAGAGGGGGGCACAAACATGGGCTCTGACTCGGAGATGACGATCATTGCCTTGGGCAAGCCCACCGCAGCAGGGACAGGGGTCGCGGCCCGCGCAGCCCTGAGTGTCTCCATGGTCCCCGATACTAGGGAGCATCCGCCTCACAAACTGCAGAAGAATCAGATTTCGTGGAGGTCGAGAAGAGCGGCCTGGTGCGGGCCGACGACGGACTGGCCCTCGCCACTCCCCCAACAGCAGGCTCGATACGGTATCTCTAACGCAAAGGATGGGCCGAGGTCTCCCCAGCAGGAGAATCAATGCGACGCCTCTGGCGTGAGGTCTCCCTAGCAGGAAAGTCGGTACGGTGCCTCCGGCGCGACATTTGCGTAGGCATCCTCCGTGCGCTTCAGGTGAGCTTTGAGTTAGGAAGGCGATCCCCGGGGGCATAAAGACCTCACACTTCCTCGATCCAGTGCGAAGAACCTGCCGAAGTTGAATCCGTAAGAAGCATTGACGAAGCCAATATAGCAAGAGAGTCAGGATCGTTACCTGATATATCGAGCGTCATGCAAAACGACAGGATGAGAGATCTCGCCATGATGCTCGTCGGCGAGAGCAGGAAGTCGAACGACCTAAACCGCTTATCTAGCGCAAGCAGCCAGCGCAGTTCAACCAGTTCAAAGGCCGACGATGTCGTGAAACCTGTCAGCACATACAGTGCCATTTTCAACCAAGAAATCTCTTTCAGCTCCGTTCTTAATTCTTTTCCAGATTTCAAAATCTTTTTAAAAATTCACATTTCTATATTTTATCATTGATGTCCAAAAAAAAAAAAAATTCTTTAGTCTCTTCCATATGCATTTCCTTCTAACCAGTATACCAGCATCAGTCTCAATCTTATTCTCATTTACTTCATCTCCAAAAGCTACTTTAACTTTAAAAGGTTTAGATTTTGTAACAAACCTAAGCATATAATTAGCTTGAGATTTAATAAACTTATCACTTTTTTCCATTAATTTAACTGATCTAAAGATATGTCTTTTAGTGTTTACTGAAGACATTTCACTGCAAACAAAATAATTGTAAAGACTATTGTAAAAAAAAAATTAGAAACTAGAATTTCGGAGAAAACAAATGTAGCACAATGATTTATTTTTCAAAAATGAATGAAAAAAAAAGAAATTTAATGCAGTATAAAGGATAATTAATGTAGCATAAGATAAACGTAGCACAATAATTTATTTTACAAAAAAGGAAAGAAATACATTCGAACCCCATAGATGTGAAAGAAAAGTCTTAAAATTTAACCACTTAAGCTGGAAGCAATTTTTGAAAATGTAGCACAAATTTCTTTATAAAATATGTGGCTTAAAGCTAATGTTTTACCTGCTTCAAAGCAGGGACGGGTCTGAGCACAGAAACCGCGAGTCAGAAACCAGATCCAGTGACCAAGGCAAATGTGGAAAGAAGAAAGCAACGCTTACCAGAACTACCTCGCGGGCGTCAAGAGAATTGGACGTTGACGTCTGACGGCACTGTCTTGAAGAAGTACCGCTCCCGCCAATCGGGGCTCCCCAATCAGTCCCCGAGGATGGGGACGGCATAACCATATTTGGTGTGCAGGGTGTAGCGACGGGCATCGGCGTTGAGGTTGCAGAACTGGTACGACAACAACACCGTAGTGCCGCTGATATGGATCCCAGACAGGTTTGAAAGAATCCGATAAGCGCAAAGGAGCCCCCACGCCGAGGGGTGAAGTTGACTGAGGCAGATGCCGACAAGACAGAAGAAGTCGACTAGCATCCGAGGAAGACTGCCCCAGAAGCCGTATAGGATGTAGTCATCGTGAATCGCAATGCAGTGGCGGGGAGGAAGATCCGCACGGTCATCCGCAGTAGGAAAGATGGTGCTAAGCCCGGAAGAGGGAGGGTCATTCGCCCTCAAGACCCTCTCTAGGGAGTCCGATGTACATACCGACGGAGGCTGGTCGCATGGCAAAGCCCCAAAGGTGTTCGAGCAATGCTCTCGACCTCGCCATCGGATCACGAGAAATGTGCACGCCACTTGCCGAATGACGAACTCGATGCCGACATCTCAACTGAACGAAAAGAGGGATGGAAGGCAGAAAAAATAACTAAGGAGAAATGGCTTTGCGGATTGCTTTGGAAATGAAGTGAGACCGTGAAGGCGTTGATTCCGCGAGTTTTATAGAGAAGGAAGAAATCAAAGCAATGCGCGAGAAAAATCACGTCACTCGGGGAAAGCCAGGAGTTGAGGGTACAACCATAAATAAAAAAACCCTCGAGCCGTGTGTTGGAAGTGATGTGCATTTAATACGGAGAGAGACAGATGGTCCATCACGGCAGAAAAAGCAACCGGCGGTTCTTGGGAACAAAGCACACTGTGCGACATGACGCGCCGCACCTTAGGCCATAGGAGTTCGCCATGTAGATCGAACTCACCCTACGTCTGAACCCCACCCAGGAGAAAACTCAAACAATGACTATCGTTTCTGCCCAAGCCATGGAAAACCGACTGACGAACAGTTGCAATGGTATGAAAACTCATGCTGTTACATGAATAACCGCCATTCCTCCTGGGTGGAAATGGCCCCAGGGACGGGTTGCACAAATTCCATGCACGCGGGTCAAACTTAACCACCCGGGCACTTCAAACCCTGTGGTGGGTCATACGGAACCTGTGGCAGTGGACAAAACATGGCCGTCTCGAAAACTGTCTCGACCTGCGGATGGCCCGTGAGATTATGTGATTTCTTGCTTGCATGATTGTATGATTTCTTGCTTGTATGATTGTGTGATTTCTTGCTTGCATAATTATGTGATTTTTTGCTTGTATGATTGTGTGATTTCTTGCTTTCATGATTGTGTGATTTTTTGCTTGCATAATTATGTGATTTCTTGCTTGCATGATTGTGTGATTTCTTGCTTGCATGATTGTTTGATTTCTTGCTTGCATGATTGTGTGATTTATTGCTTGCATGATTGTGTGATTTCTTGCTTGCATGATTGTGTGATTTCTTGCTTGCATGATTATGTGATTTCTTGCTTGCATGATTATGTGATTTCTTGCTTGCATGATCATGTGATTTCTTGCTTGCATGATTGTGTGATTTTTTATTGCATGATTATATGATTTCTTGCTTGCATGATATCCTGTCCGCATAGCAGCTTGGTTCCTCGCCCTTGTCGCGGTACACCCTTTCTCGCTTATATGCCTTCAGTATCTTTCTCTTAATTAAAATACCCTTCTTCAAAACCCCTTTCTTAGCATGCTCCTTCGCGGACTTGTTTGTCCTCTGGGACACCATTCCTCTGGGAATTCATGACTCCGGTCCAGCAGGCCCCTCGTGGCCCTCCCTGCACCAGCTCCCTCCGAGGACAGCATGCTCCCCCACGGATTTGCTCGCCCTCTAGGGCATCCTCCCTTCGGGATTCTGAGGCTCTAGCGTCGCAGACCTCGAAGTCTTCCTCGCCAGTCCCCTCCAGCGGGCCGAGCGACAAAACAACATGCTCCCCCAGTGACACGCTTGCTGCTTAGCTACCACATGAATTGAGGTCGCCTACTCGCAGGCTTTCTCTTCCTGATAATTTTCTTGACCTCTTCCCTCTGGGGTATGTCACAAGCATGTTATTAAAACCCAGAAACTTCCACATAAGCACAACGCAAAGACTGTCCAGGCAGTGAGGGAGTCGAGGTAACGCCCTTGGGATCGCTCTACTCCGCACCAGCTGCACTCGAGTAGCGACTCCCCCTTGCGTCAGCGCCCCGCGATGCAGGGAACATATATTCATCCGTTCAATAGCGCCACCTCTGGCCCTTTGGGCCGTTGTCTTAAACCGCGTCGCCGTCTTAGGTCGGTCCCCATGGTCACATAAGACTATAACCTCTCTCATGACTCCGATGAGAGGGAACAAGACGGCTTCTTGTCTAGTGCCTCACGAAACAAGAAGTAAAATCCCTCATTGGAGATGTCCACCAGTGGCCTAGCTATCAGTTCCTCTGGAGCGCCAATATCCTCCTATCATGAGTTAGTATCGTACGCCCCCGGATGCGTGCTCTAGTCAGGGTAGGACCCTATCATATAACTCTCCCGGCCGACGGCGTACTTCTCTGGATGCGTGGCGAAGACAAGGCGAGTCTCTTATTACATTTAGTCTGACCGTCTCACGGTTTGCTTTCCCCGGAAGTGTAATTCTTTTTGCCAATAATGTACTCCCCCAGATGCGAATAAGGCCAGAGTTGACATTTATTAAGCCGCCCCTCGGTTTGCTTCTCCGAAAACATAATTCCTTCGACTAATAACGTGCTCCCCCGGGATATATGAATAAGGTCGGAGTTGAAACCCTTCTTTCGTTCGCTCCTCCGACTAGAACCGTACTCCTTCGCAATGTATGGCGAGGTTGGAGTCAAAGCCTTTTTCCAACTCCCCTGCGAGTCCGGACCTCCTAGCCAGTACTGTACTCCATCGGAATACGTGGCATGGCTTGGACGAGTCTTTATTTTATGTACCGCCTTTAAGAACCTAGATTCGCCCAGACTAGTACGATATCCCTCGGGGTACACAGCAATGTCATTGCATCGATGTCGCATTTAATGACAGAACTCTAGGGAACCGGATGACTTATGCTGATTATGCAGGAGACCCAAAGGAAGTCGACTCTCCGACTCATTTTTCAATCAGTCAAGAAGTCGGGGGCAACTGTTGGGACCGATTTTACCACCTCCAAAGACAACATAACATTTAGATAGTGAACCACCCTAGACACTGACACGGTTAAGCTAGTTCGGCCAACAACTTCCGAGCACTGTTCCTGGGTAGTTGGCGAGCTTCCCCGAACACACATGAATCATTAGCCCACCTGCACTTCTGGCGAGCCGAATGGAGAGAACGTGACAGGGAAAAGCCAGTATAAAAGGATAAGATCCCCACAAAGAGGATGGGGGAGAGCTTCTTCGAGAGAACCCGATCTAAGAAAGATAACTCCTTCGAGCCGACTCGGAGGGTTGTTCACCGCCAATCAGCATGGTCGAGAGGGAACTGCCCCATTCCCTCGAGATGATGCCTACCAGGATAAGTCCCTTCTTTAACCCGGAACTCTGCCTTTATACTCGCTGAACCCCCTCTTTTCTACTAGAAAGCATCCTCGAAACACTCGCAAACAGACATATGTCTTGATCCCCGGACGAGACATCTCACTCGAACCCGTAAAATCATCCTCCTGAGTATTTGTTCCTGGTAGGGCATTCATTGACATTGGCATCGGAGAACCTTCGGTAGGAAAACCCCCTTCCGGTATTCCCAGAAGCCCGATTGACCTTTTGTGTAGTACTTACAGGGTCGGACTTATCCACTACCCCGCCGGCGGGGCCTGAATCGGCTTCCACCCCAGAACGCCTCGCCGCCTTTCCTCTAAAAGACGAAACTCGGAGGCACGGTTCCATTTCTCAGATGAATAATACACCCCCACGTAGCATCCCGAAATTTGTTCCCGAACAGTTACATATTATGTAAATACAAGATGTTAGTGAAAAAAGATTAATGTTTTTTTGTATCTAAAATTAATATTATGACGAAGATTAAATATGTGATTATTTAAATTTTGTATATGATTATAATTTTTTAAAACTCAAATATGTAATAATTTTAAAGATTAATTTTTTTTTATTTAATATTTCTACTTTTACATGTATATAATTTTAATTGTACATAATATGTTTTAATCAGATTTATTTTATTAACTGCATGATGTTAATAACTAAATTAATAAATATTATAAATTACTAAGAGTTTTTCTAACTATATAATTAAATAGTATATAAAATTCCACGCACAACGCGGATTACCCACTAGTTGTTAATAATATGCATTTAGTGAAATTGTCTTTTTACATTTCATGAAAATGTTACATACCATTCAACTTCATTGTCAAATCAAATACATGATTTTAAAATCATAGAACTAATGATATATAATTTGAATATAAATTTTAAAATTATAGAACCAATAACATAAAGTTTAAATATAAATTTTAAAATTATAAAACATTTAGTTGAACCCCACTGAAGTAAAAGTGTACATTTGATTTATTGGTTCAATTCAAATTGGTTTTTCTTTTTATATCAGGTTATTCACATTATAGAAATTAAATTATAGTTTGGTTAGGATATTTTGGATTCTAGAAAATATATTTCACTCAGAAACATATTAGACTTTTTATTATAATAAGTACTTATAAAATATAAAAAATAATTAACTGAAATATTCTAAAAGGTTAAAGCCTAAAATAACAATTCTAAATTCAGTTTGGTTTTTCCACCCTATCAATCTGTAATATACGCTAAAGTTGAAAACTTATAAAAATAAAAAGAACAAACAAAAAGATAAAATTTACGCTCTTTACCCTTTGACCCTTTTATTCGATAGATGTTAAAGCCAAAATAAAATAAAAAAGAGAAACAAAGGGAAGAGAAGAAAAAAAGAAATTAGGTGTAGTAACCATAACAATAGCTAAAATTCATCAAATAACCATAACAAAAACATAGTTATGATATTCTATATATTTTCTACAATATATACAAAATTATCATTTTTTAAAACTCCTTCACTAATTTTATATCTTCCTTTCACTGCATCTTCTCTTCTTCGTTCTTTCTCTTTTCCTCCCCTCCCCTACGTCTCCTCCTCTCCTCTCCTCCCCTTTTCCTCCCCTTCTCTCTTCTTTTTTTTCGTTTTTATTCTAATTAGTTTTGTAAATACTATATCAAACCAAACTATTCTATAAAAATAATATATAATATAATAGCTATTATAATATAATATATAAATATTTTCAACTATTGACTATGGGTTATAAGTAATTTATAAATTATCTGTATACTATATTCTTTATTTCAACTCTTGGTTATCAGCAAAAAGCCCTAGAAAAAAAGCCACGAGGCCTTCAAGCAAAAACAGAACAATTTTATTTTATTAACGAGTGTGTTTCTGTGTGTCTATAAATGTAACACACATCTTCATCTTCTTCCTCCTCTCGGTTTTAACACAAACCAACAAAAACATCAAATTCTTCTTCTTCCTCCACCGACGAGATTTTAACATTTCTGATGACGCATCTCAACAAGAAACCCAGGTTTGAGAACCTCAACGTCAACCTCTTCGACGACTTACACGACGATCTCGTCATCTCTATCCTCCGAAAACTCAGTTCCTCCGCTTTTTCTCCCTCCGATTTTCTCACCGTTCTCTTCACGTAAGCCGCCTTCTCAGTTCTCTCCTCAGCCATTGCATCTCCTCGATTTCGACTAAATTATTTTGTCGTTTCAGATGCAAGCGATTGAATCGATTGGGTTTGGATCCTCTGGTTTTATCCAGAGCCGGAACTCATGCCCTAGCCGTCACGGCGGAGAACTGGTCAGATTCCGCTCACAAATTCCTCAGACGCTGCGTTAATGCTGGAAACATCGATGCTTGTTACGCTCTCGGAATGGTCCGTCTTCAACCTTCGTCTCTCTCTTTCCTTTCGATTCCATCTCTCTAAGATTTGAGTTTTCCTCTTTGCGCAGATCCGATTTTACTGCCTTCAAAATCCAGTGAGCGGCGCATCTCTAATGGCTAGAGCCGCGATTAAATCTCACGCGACGGCGCTTTACTCGTTGTCGGTGGTTCAATTTAATGGAAGCAGCGGTACCAAATCCGATAAGAACCTACGCGCTGGAGTCGCTCTCTGCGCGCGCTCCGCTTATCTCGGCAATGTCGACGCGGTCCGGGAGCTCGGTCACTGTCTCCAAGACGGTTACGGCGTTCCTCGCGACGTCTCCGAAGGTCGTCGGCTTTTGATTCAGGCCAACGCGAGAGAGCTCGCGTGCTCTCTACGCTCTTACCTCTCTCTCAAATCTGGAAACGAAACACTAACCGATCTTTTTTGCGGCGGAGTACCGGTTCAAGAGATTCACCCAGTAAACCGGTTTTTAAAGGATTGGTTTGGTTCCGGTCGGGTTATTTTAGCGGAAGGGCTGAGGATGTGTTCTCACGGTGGATGCGGGAGGCCGGAGACTCGGTCGCATGAGTTCCGGCGATGTTCTGTTTGTGGGAAGGTGAATTATTGTTCTAGAGGATGTCAGGCGTTAGATTGGAGAGCGAAGCATAAGATGGAATGTGCACCGTTGGATCTGTGGGTTGCTGCGGCGGAGATTGGCGACGGTGACGGTGAGGCCGTGGAGATCGAGAATCATGTTGCTCGGTAACGGCTCTGACGCTTTTTTTCCCCTAGTTTTTAATGAAAAATCTGAAAATGTCTAATGACGCCTTTGGACTTTTTTTTTGGGTCATTACTCGTATTAATTAATAACCCTTTTAAACTTTTCATGTTTTTTTTCTTCGTAATTTACTAATGTTGGCAAAAATGGCGTTTTATGATTTACAAACTGACAAGTTTTTTAAAAGTAAAGATATTAAATGTTCATTTTACGAATAAAAAATAGAAGTAAAATTAAAACTGAATTTTTACGATTTTGATTTTATATTAAAATTTTAAGCTATATTTTTTGTGTAAACCATTTTCAATCCACTTTTATTTTAAATCTTCTAATTTAGGGTAAAAAAGAAAAATTGTTATTTTTTTTTCAATTATAGAGGGAAAAATAATAATTTTTTTTTCTGAAATATAATATTAAGTTGGAGAGAAATTCACTTATATTTTAAAAGAAAAAATAAAAAATACATTAGAGATTATTTTAATGTTTAATATATTATTAAATGTTAATAAAAAAATATGAGTCAAAAAAACAAAAAATAAATAAGAATAATTTTGATTGATTTTAAGTTTTTATTTGAAATATTTAAAAATATTATCATACACATATTAATTCTTTAATGCATAAATTTTTTCTAACATATTAAAACATTATTTCACGAATCAAGTTTTGTATATGTTGTAGTCTATTATATTTTATATTAACAAATATATTAAAGTTAAGAACATATCAACTTTTAATTTTTAATAGCAATCAAATATTAAATATATATTATTTTATATCTTAAATCATACACATATAAGTTTAGATCTGATTGGTTTAAACGACGGTTACAGAAAATTTGTGGAAGCGAGCGATTGCGGATTATAAAAATTTTGACGAAGAGATGAACGGAAAGCTACCGGAGAATTTTATAAAATATGATTTCACAAAATTTATAATAAATTTTTATTGAGGAACCATATATCATCAAACGCTGAAAAATAAGAAACTTTGATTAAATACAAAACGATAAAATTGTTTTTGTGATTGTTGTTAAACGCCAATAGCTGCATCGTCTAAAAACATAACGTTTGCATAAAATATCAGAAAAACTTACCAACACCTAAATATTATAATTTACTTATTTCTAACTCATACATACATTCATAAATATACTTATTAATTATTTTTTTTTAAAAAAAACCAACTATACATTGTAAAAATATATATTACAAAACATATACTTTGTTATTTTCTTTTAACACATAAAACCCATATTTCGATTGTTTTACAAATATGCGTGTAGTTATAAATATTAATTGTGCAAAAGTCAAACTCGAATGCAAACTTGTATGTACTAAGAGCGGTGAGGTGGTTGGTACGCACGAATGTACGAACCAACCATCTATCCGCTCTTAAGATAAATAAATATGGTATAATTCAAGTTGGTTTAATTAGCAATATATCAAAGAAAAATGTGTACTTAAAATATATATAGTGGCAAAATTATATTTTTAAAGAGAAAAAGAAAGTATTATATAGATAATATTTAAAATATATTATAAAAATTTAATTATTATTTAATATAATTTTTACATTTGCAATTATATATTACTGTAAATGCTAGGAAAAATAAAAAGTTCTTAAAAGATACAAAACGATATGAAACGTTTGTGTGATTGTTGTTGAACACTAAAATTGTATATGTATAAAAACATAACATTTACATAATGTGTAAGAAAATTAATCAATATTTAAATATTACAACTAATTATGTCTAGAAAAAATTATATTTGCACATGCATACGGACCAAAAATAAAAATTAAATAAATTATTATATATTTTAATATTTTTTCGTTTATTTAGTAACCATATTTATATTTTTTATCTAAAGAAATATTTTAGTTAATATTTTTTTATCTTTATTTTCTGTTGAAATATATAATATTTTATATTTAATTTATCATTATTTTTTATTATCAAATATTTATTATTTTATTATTAATACATAATTAACCATATACAAATAAAACATCTTCAATACTATATTAATCATAATTGAACATATAAAATGTTTTATAGCCTGTAAATCACCTAGTGTATATATATATATGCTCTACTAATTAATTATAAGTCATAGATATCCTTTTTTTTTTTGACAATGGCAGGACAAAGGCAAAAGATACTTTGAATCAAATGTAGTCTATAAGCTCTATTAATTACTTGCAATAAATTACACAATTTCTGATATAAGTGCAATAAAAAAAACGCTAGTTCTCTCTCTCTCAAAAAGCGGAGATTTAAGGTTCTTATGGTTTGCAATCAAAAGGGAATTGATCGATTCAATGGAATTTTTGGAATAAAATCGGGGGTTTATGGAAGGGATTATCATTTTAAGGTCACGATTTTATGGAGTGGGTCTCGCTCAACATCTGGATGCGTAAGGATGGTTCGATCAGAAGTCTCAAGGGTTTCGATGAATACAAGGGTTCAAATGGCGGATTACCAAGAGCTACTAAAAGTGTGTATCCTTCCGGGGATATGGCATCATTTGGGGAGTGCAGCAAGTATTGGAAGACATGGGACGGTTTATTGGAGGTTTTCCTCTCCCGAGGGGTGGAGTATTATATAGCGGTTCCTGGAGTAGATGCGGTAGCTGAAGGAAATTCAGAGCAAGGAACAATGGTTCGATGGTCCAGATCTAACACTCGGGATCCATTCCTCGAGAGCGGGATCATCATTGGTGTTAAGGATGCAGATTGTCTATTCTGTTTCGGTGATAGACAGAGAGCAAAGACGATGACCCTCCAGTGGTTAGTACTGACTACACAATACATAGACAATGGATTTGCAAGCTGTTGGAACCATTTTGAAATTAGTAGGCAGAGGTATGCATAGCTTTTTGTTCTTCTTCCTTCGTTGTCTCTTCTCTCGCTGTCTCTTCACCCACGAGGAGGGATATGGAGAACGACAATCTCACTACTCTCATTACTATCATGGAGTTGGGAAATGGAGTTTTGTAAGGTTTCGTGCTTATTCTGCTATGGAGGTTCTGTTGATGGAATGAGAGTTATGTGGAACCCTCTGTCGGAATCACGGGTGTTTAAGGTACATAATCTAATTTTCGGTGTTCCTTCTTCAACTACTTCTAGACTCAGAAATAATAAAATTAAAGATACAAAATCTCGGAGTTTGAATGCAGTCAAGATCTATTAGGGGGAATACAAACACATAATTATTGCTGATTTGTTGACAAACTGGATTATACAGATTGTACTGGTGTTCAAATGGATGATTAGGATTATGGCTATCAATTGCGATTCAGAAATATCACATCTTTCAATCAATGATGGATCTCATATGGTACAACGAAAGGATAATTTCACGGGTTTCCAAATTTACACAAAGTACAGCGCTATTCATCGCTTTAATTAAATTTAGTGTATTACAATCAAAGATTTATGTTACGGAAATTATGGGAACGCATCACGGGCATAATATTAGGAAGGCTTTATGGGCAGTTTGGTATATAAAGGACATAGTCGGTGGGAGTGATAAAGCACATACTATACTTTGTTTTATCTCCACAACTCTCTTACAATTGTTTACTGCTCTGTGTAATACAATATTCACAATGTCTCAAGGAAGTCTAATGGCGTCTGATGGGTGCAATAAGAGCAAGGACAAGCTTGCAACACGGTTAAAGATTACAGTTCTACAATTCGACAACACAAAACTCATTAATGCATACTCCCGCACTCTCATTGGGCGCTGTATGAATCCTGTGGCGCAGGAGATGAAGTCCTTATTGTTCATGCTACCTAGAATCTGGAAGGTGGAGGACCGTGTTGCTGGGGCAGATCTAGGCATGGGGCGGTTTCAATTCGATTTTGATGAGGAGGAAGACATTACAGTGGTACTGCAAATGGAACCATACCATTTCAATGGCTGGATGGTTGTGTTGGTACGATGGGAACCAATTATGGATCCCAATTATCCCTCGGCTCTTACCTTTTGGGTTCACATGATGGGGGTCCCCTTGCATTTCTGGGCAGAGACGACGTTCATAAGCATAGGTCGTGAGGTTGATCTGGATGGTGGTCGAGTTCAGATTACTCTGGACGGTTTCAAAGAGCTCGTCTTTGAGACGTTAGTGGCATTTCACTAGCGATGAAACAACGGTTATACTCCGGTATGAACGGCTACATGGATTCTGTCGCGAGTGCTGCAGTATGTGTCGTGAATCGGAGAAGTGCCCTCGACTGTATCCGAAGAGGGAGAGAAGGGATGACACCCGAGACAGGGGTGGAGTACCGAGGGGAGAAATCAAAAGCTACAAGGGAGCTTTAGTAAGTGCAGGAGGAGTTGGCAACACATCAACGTCATCTACTATTGCGGAATCTTCTAAGGGGAAGGGGAAAGCATTGGACCATCGGGAGGACAAGAGAGGGCAATATAATGACGGTGATAAAGAGAGACATCATGGGGATAATAACAGGAGTCTCAGGATGCCACCAAGAGAACATAGGAACCAGGGAGGGGTTACACGGGGTATTCAAAGGAACATTGGAGGACAGAGGTCCAGGAATGGGGATATGCGCACAGAGAAGAAAGGGGATTATGCAGGGATAACAGAGGCAACATATAAGAAAAGCCCATCTGAGCACTCAGCAAAAAATGTACGAAAAGGCATTGACTTTGAAGAAATAGTCCTAGGAACGGATGAACTTGGCAATATGATTGATAGAATGGATATGCTGGAACCGGGGACCTTGGTAGAGGATAGTGTGGATGCAGGTTTAGAGGATGACATAGATTTGCTGGCTGAATACGGTGGTGACAATGGGGCCATATGTAATGATGTCACGGAGGAGAATAATGGGATTAACGAAGAGGTCTTAGGGGAAGGGACTGATATGCAAGGTACAATGGAGGCCGATGGAGACTTGGTCAGCTGTAATGAGGGTGTAAATGAAGGGATAAATGATAGTGGGATAATCGAAACTGGTGTGGAGGTTACAAAGGACCCGGTTAAGATGGGAGTAAGGAAGAAGCTCTTTAAGGGATCTGTTGCTCTTGGGGGAGGTTCCAAAAAGATGCTACATGCCACAACTCCGAGGAAGAAAGCTGCTACAAGGGACTGCAAACGTGGGGGGGATGAAGGGAAGCTTCAGCCTAGGAAAAATGAAGAGCTGACAGGGGAGTCGGAGATACCAAAAGTTATTTAATGAGGATCCTAAGCTGGAATTGTCAAGGATTGGGTAACAGGTTTACAATAAGCTACCTCAGAGAAACATAGAAGAAGTTTAGACCTGATTTCTTATTTTTCTCTGAGACTAAGCAATGTTTTATTTTTTTGGAACAATTTAAATTTCATTTTGGTTATGATTCTTTGTATATGGTTGAATCGTGTGGTGCTAGAGGCGGATTAGCCTTATTTTATAATAAAACTTATGATGTTGATGTTTTATTTTCAGATAATAGACTCATTGATGTGGAAGCAAATATTGAAGGAAACAAAACTTATTTATCTTTTGTCTACTGTGACCCGGTTCGAAAATGGAGAAATGAAGTATGGGAAAGAATAACAAGGACAAGTTTGACAAGGAATGATCTGTAGTTTTTAATTAGTGATTTTAATGAAATTATCGGAAATCATGAGAAAGAAGGGGGTGCAATTAGACAAATGTCTTCCTTTGTTAGCTTTAATACAATGCTTGATAATTGCGGGTTAATTGATTTCCCAAATAGAGGGAACACATTGTCCTGGAAAGGTTGGTGCAATAGGCAAAACGTGTGGTGTAGATTAGATAGAGGATTAGCAACAGAGGGTTGACATGATTTATTTCCTTTCTCATATATAGAGTATCTAAGGATGATTGGGTCTGATCATAGACCTATTGTTGCGACAATAGAATCAAAGAAAATAAAACGACGGAGACAGTTTCGGTTTGATAAAAGATGGATAGGACAAGATGGGCTGATGGATGCAATAACACGTGGTTGGAGATATGATCCGTTTGTTTCAACAAACTCATTAGTTGATCGAATCGGATCATGTAGACGTGAGATATCCAAATGGAGGCAGATAAATCAACCATATGGAAGAGTTAAGATTGAGGAATTACAAAGGCAACTTGAGGAGGTACAGACAGATGACACACGTACACAAGGGGGACTTAATGAGATAACCCAAAAACTCAAAGAAGCGTATCGGGATGAGGAACAGTTCTGGCAATAGAAAAGTCGAAATTTATGGAATAAGTGTAGGGACCTTAATACTAAGTTTTATCATGCAACAACACACCAACGTCGAACGATCAATAGGATCGTTGGGTTACAGGATAGACACGGTACTTGCGTAACTGGGGAAAAGAAAGTAGAGAAGGTCGTTGTAGATTATTTTAACGAATTATTTACATCCACCATGCCAACGGCTTTCGAGGATGCCTTAGGGGAAATTAAACCAGAAATTATAGAACGAGAGAATGCAGAGTTAATCAAAATGGCATCAGCAGATGAGGTGCGAGATGCGCTTTTCAAGATGCACCCAGAAAAGGCCCCTGGTCCTGATGGAATGACAGCCTTATTTTTCCAAAAGTCATGGAAAATTATAAAAGGAGATGTGATACATATGGTGAATAGTTTTTTAAATTCGGGGAGTTTTGATAAACTATTAAACATGTGTATATTTGCCTGATCCCGCAGAAGGAAAGGCCAACTAAAATGACGGAACTACGACCTATTAGTCTCTGCAATGTGGGCTATAAGATCATATCAAAGGTGTTATGTCAACGATTACGGAGATTGTTACCACGACTGATCTCGGAAACACAATCAGCTATTGTGTCAGGTAGGTTAATATCAGATAATATTCTAATTGCCCAAGAAATGTTCCACGGTTTGCGGACAAATAAGTTTTGTAAAACGAATTTTATGGCGGTTAAAACAGACATGAGTAAAGCTTATGATCGGGTTGAATGGTCGTTTATCGAGAATTTTCTCTGGAAAATGGGATTTGCGAAAAAATGAATCACATGGATGATGTGGTGCATAGAATCGGTGCAATATAAGGTGCTCATTAACGGTCAACCACGGGGAAATATTACACCAAAGAGGAGGTTGCGGCAGGGGGATCCTTTGTTGTCCTATCTTTTTATTCTCTGTACAGAGGTACTAATTTCAAAATTAAGGAAAGCAGAACTGGAAAAAGCTATTACAGGGATGAAAGTAGCACGGGGAAGTCCAGCGGTTTCACACATGCTATTTGCAGACGATAGTTTATTATTCTGTAAAGCGACACAGACAGAGGCGACTGTGCTATTGCATATTCTAAAACAATACGAAGCAGTCTCTGACCAACTTATCAATTTTGATAAATCATCGGTACAATTTGGCCATATAGTGGATACGGCGGTGTGAGGACCTGTACAAAATTTATTAGGTATCACTAACATTGGAGGGATGGGGACATATTTGGGGATTCCAGAAAGTCTTGAAGGGGCTAAAACAAAAATATTCAATTTTTAATAGATAGACAAGAAAAAAGGATTAATGGATGGACATCTAAGTTATTATCGAAAGGAGGTAAAGAGATCTTTATAAAGTCTGTAGCCACTGCAATGCCGACATATGCTATGTCCTGCTTTAGATTGCCGAAAGCAATTACCAGAAAACTTACAAGCATGGTGGCCAATTTTTGGTGGAGCAATAATGGGCAAACTCGGGGTATGCACTAGCTTGCTTGGAAGAAGTTATGTAAGTCCAAACCTGACGGTGGTCTAGGTTTTCATGTTATTGAGGACTTTAACGCAGCTCTCTTGGCCAAACAGCTCTGGAGACTTATTGATTATTCGTACTCGCTTTTTGCAAAAGTTTTTAAAGCCGCTATTATAGAAAGGGAACACCATTAGACCCAATTCGTTCTTATTCTCCTTCTTATGGGTGGAAGAGTATTATTTCTGCTAGATCTCTAGTACAAAAAGGACTTATTAAAAGAGTTGGTTCTGGTCATTCCATTTCTGTATAGAATGACCCATGGATTCCAGCATCACGCCCGAGATCAGCTTCATGCAAAAGGTATAATTATTATCCAGAGCTCACGGTCAACCAATTAATTGACCCAACAACCTCAACGTGGAATTTACCACTACTTGAACAATTGATACTACAGGAGGATATACCTTTGATCACTGGGATGGCAACTACCAGTGAGCAACGTCCAGACACTCTGGGATGGAATTTTACAAAAACAGGGAGATACACAGTCAAGTTAGGATATTTAACGGAGCAACTTTATCCCATAAATGGAGACATTAATATATGTTATGGGCCAGATGTGAGTCAATTACAGGCCCAAGTATGGAAAGTCAAATGTCCACCAAAAATGAAACATCTTATGTGGCAACTACTTTCGGGATGCTTGGCGGTTCTGGATCGTCTTCGGAGTAGAGGAGTGAGTGATGATCCGAAGACGATTCTCAATGTCTAAGATGTGGAGCGGCCAAAGAAACTTTTAATCACACACTCTTCGAGTGCCTACCAGCCTTTCAGGTTTGGACATTGTCACCAATACCTACACCTACACATCAGTTTCCCACATATGCTTTATTCTCAAATATGGCAAATTTGTTTTGGAATTTACCAAACCATAATGATATGAAAGTTTATCCCTGGCTTTTATGGTATATTTGGAAGATGAGAAACGATAACTTCTTCTCTAATATTGATCGGGATCCCCGAGAGGTAGTAAAACTAGCGATAGCGGAATCAAATATTTGGGAACAGGCACAGACAGAGGACATAGTGGAAAATATTCCACAGGAAACGCAAATGGAAATTTTCACCCATACTGGGGTAATCTGCCATACAGATGGATAGTGGAAACAAGGGGCACCCAACGCAGGATTGGGTTGGTTTAGTCAAGGTGTGGGTACGGTGGGAACGCTTTTGGGTACGCGTAATGTACGACGCAGTATATCACCTCTACATACGGGGCTGGAGGCATTAATATGGGTAATGTATTGTATGCTAGATGCAAGACGAATGTCGGTTGTTTTTTATCACAGACAGTTCTGAACTGGTGCGGATGGTGTCCAATCCAGCAGAGTGGCCGGCATTCTCTCTACATTTGGAGGAATATAAAAGGAGCAAAAGAGAGTTTGTTTTCTTCTCAATCTCAAAGATCCCCGTGCACAGAACACAAAGGCGGACAAGTTAACACGGAGTGCTCGAGACTACTTTTATCATCTAAATTATGTAAACTCAACTCCACCGATCTGGCTTTCTGGATCATTGTAAGAGTATGAAGCTGTTGATATAAAAAAAAAAAGTGCAATAGTTTCTCAACAATTTCTAAGAGCATCTACAGTAGACATTTTATAAGAGTTTCTAACTAAAAAAGAAAAAGAAAAAAGAAAAGAAAAAATGAGTTGGCAAGAAAAAAAATCAGAATCGCCTCCCATATTGGAGTCTATAGAATCGACTCTCACACTATTCATTATATTAATAATATATTTAATATTAACATATAGTTAAGAACTTCAATATAGGTTCACCATTGTTTCCTGTCTCTAATTTAAAGAGAGTCTGAGAAGAAGTAACAACATGCCAAGTGCCAATACCTGATTATATCCATCCACTTTATCATTCTCGAAGCAACACAAGTGATCCTGCTTAGATTTATATTATTCTTGTAACTTTTGTAAGATTGAAACACAAGGCAAAACAAAAATGGGATATTTAACTACCAGTTTACAAACCCGCAAACAAATGTCTCTCTAAACTGTTTGTTTCATTCTCAAGCAACTCTGCAAACAAATGTCTGTTGGTTTCCATGCCGTGATTTGGAGTTTTTATTTTTGTTCTACTCCTTTTAAACAGCCATTTCTGGCGCTTTTATAAGTGGCTCCTAAAAGTTTCTATACTATAATGTTCAACAAAGTTTTCAAGAATTCTTTGTTTGATCGGTATGCAAATTCGTTATTCTAGCATTGATGAGCTCGTAAACTTGTCTCAGATTTCTAACAGAATATAGTTGCATATACTTGAAGCACTTGATCTATTCTTGCAACAATACTTTAAATATTTTACATACCCAACAAATCCTTAAAGATTTCTCAGTAAAAAGAAAGAAAAGAGATACATATATAAAGGATATTT